ATCAATTGGATTGGAGCATCTATTATTTAATTCAAAATAATTTTAAGATTTAAAATTACATAAAAAGTCCACTTACAAGCATTTATCTCATTTACATGTATTCACTTTTTCCATTTTTTAATAGTTTATCTAGATTACTTCTGAAAATTGAGATACTACACAAAACTAATCATTATTTAAAGTTATTACTGGGCCGAGCGCAGTGGCTCACGCCTGTAATCCCAACACTTTGGGAGGCCCAAGTGGGCAGATCATGAGGTCAGGAGCTCAAGACCATCCTGGTGGCTAACACGGTGAAACCCCGTCTCTACTAAAAAACATACAAAAAAATTAGCCGGGCGTGGTGGTGGGCGCCTGTAGTCCCAGCTACTCGGGAGCCTGAGGCAGGAGAATGGTGTGAACCCGGAAGGCGGAGCTTGCAGTGAGCCAAGATTGTGCCACTGCACTCCAGCATAGGCAACAGAGGAAGACTCTGTCTCAGTAATAATAATAATAATAATAATAATTTCCCTTTTAACCATTTTTAAAATCTGAACAGTAAATGGTGAGCACTTAAGAACCTTAAAATTAATGTGTTTGCTGATGACTCAGAAGATTTAGCTGTTTCATTGAACTAACAATCTTAAGTTAATCTTATTTGTCAAAAAAAAATACACAACGATTATTCTGTTTTTGGCTGAGTGTAAAGTCTTAGAACCTTTATGTCAACCCTTGACAGCTTAGTATACACACTGATACAAATATAAAACCACTTAGGTAAAAACATATGTGGACAATTCTGAAGACATTTCTATTTTTATCAATCATTTTAAAACCAGTTTTATTAAAGATTCCCATGCACTTGAAAAGCGTTTGGACTTAATTTTTGAGTAACCGTTTACTTATCAGCCAATCTGATAGCATGCTAGACACAACACAGAACATAATACAGGAACATTACATAAATATATCTAAACATGTATACATACATGCACAAAGAAATAACAAATAGCTTTTACCTTGGAACTCTAGCCATGAGACAGCATTACAAACTCACAGACATACAAAAGGTAGCTGGCTCCAAGCTCTTTTTCTGACAAAATTGAAACCTGTTCATATGGCCAAACTTTGTTTGCCCTAATGGGTAATCCAAGGAAATCTGTGAACCAAAATTTTGGGTAAAACAGTCTCTATTGCAATTTTTTTTAACCCCTTTTACCCTTGTTTTTTTATTGTCAGTTTCAAACGACTTTCCAGTGTTTACGTTCTAGTTAGACCATCAATGAGTCTTAGCACCAGCAGCTTAATAACAGCAGATTTAAAGCAGGCAGAAAAGAGAAGAAGATACCTTTAGAAGACTCTACTTAACTCTGTAGCTTCAGGTTAACTATTTGAGCTCTAAATTTTTCTTATTGTAATTTGCCTGTCGGTTTAAAATGTACACAAAAATGGACCATATGGGCCGGGCGCGGTGGCTCAAGCCTGTAATCCCCGCACTTTGGGAGGCCGAGACGGGTGGATCACGAGGTCAGCAGATCGAGACCATCCTGGCTAACACGGTGAAACCCAGTCTCTACTAAAAAATACAAAAAACTAGCCGGGCGCGGTGGCGGGCGCCTGTAGTCCCAGCTACTCGGGAGGCTGAGGCAGGAGAATGGCCAGAACCCGGGAGGCGGAGCTTGCAGTGAGCTGAGATCCGGCCACTGCACTCCAGCCTGGGCGACAGAGCGAGACTCCGTCTCAAAAAAAAAAAAAAAAAAAAAAAATGGACCATATGTAATCAGCTGGAGTTCCAAAGAGGATGACAAAATCGGGCCAGGATGTTGAAAGTTGTTTTCCTCTTCAGTACTGGTTTTCTGGTTTGAACAGGAAAAGATTAAAAGAAAGGAGTGGAGAGGAGAAAGGAGGTCAGTTTTTGTGGGCAGGAAGAGGAAAGAAAAAAGAGGGAAGGGAGGCTTATGAGCCTTCCAGCCACTGCACAGTACCCCTACCTCTCTTGTTTATCTCCTCTTAGGGAGAGCCTCAGCACCCCAGACCTGCAGGGTGTGGGATGAATCCCTCCCATTTCCTCAAGTCACCAGTCAAGGTAAACTGTTTCGAGCCAGAGGGAGCTAAGGGTGGTTTTGGCTGAGAAGAGTAGGGCTGTAGATGGCTTCTGAGATAATCAGGATGATGAAGTTGGAAAAAAGAGGAAAGAGAGAGATCAGGGTGCACAAAGATCTCACACACGGACAAACAGGTGGTGTGCCTCCAAACAAATCCCTGATTAAGGGGCTGTGTAGACTCCCACATCCCTCATTTCAGTTTCAAATGGCTCCCCCCAGGCAACTGAGTCAGAACTGAGCAAAGGCCCAAGGTTACAGCAAATACAAACAAAACCAATGCATAAAATGCTCATATAGTGTCACTGGCAGCCAAGTCTAAATAAAGCAGAGCCCCAGCGACACCCCAAAAGAGGCAGATGGTGGTTGGGCACACTCTGACTAATGTACCTAGTTCCAAAGTTTGTCAACTTCTCCAGAGGTCACTTTGCACCAGTGAAGCATTGAAGGTAGCAGACACCATAGCAGGAAGAAAAGAGAGGATCCCTAAGACAAAAGATTCTTGGCAACTGCTGGAAATCCCCTAATATTCTAGCCATGGGTCAGCTAGCCGTCAGCAACTAGTATTCACAGGTGGCCCTATGTCCCATCTGACAGAAACCAGACTGGCGGGCTGAGGCCCTGGAGCATACAGCACTCACCATATGGGACACTAAAATTGTAACCAGCAATTATAAGTGCTGATTGCATAGTGCAATTAACAAGAGTGAGGTCTGATAGACAGAAAGTGACTTCATTGACCAAAACTAATAATGGACAAGTGGCCTGATTCCCATCCAAAATAACCATGTCCAATTTCTAGGGGAAAGGCAGGGGGCTTACAAAGGGAAACTTAATATGGGAGGCATGCAGGAGTTGTGCTGGTTACAAGGTTCTGTGTCTTGTTTTGGTGTCTATGTTGGGTCTTTTGTGTTGTCCCATGTTGATGTTGGGGTTAATAAAGTCACTTTCCACCAGACCTTGCTCTTATTAATTGGACGCTGTAAGTGGCGAGCAGCCGGATTGCATTTGGTTACAATTGTATACTAATAGGTCGGTCTGTCTATCTATCTTATTTTATTTTTGTTTTTCTGAGAAAAATTTTTATTTTTTTGAGATGCAGATTCGCTATGTCACCCAGGCTAGAGTGCAGTGAGTGGCGCGATCTCAGCTCACTGCAACCTCCGCCTCCCGGGTTCAAGCAATTCTCCTGCCTCAGCCTCCTGAGTAGCTGGGATTACAGGCGCCTGCCACCACGCCCGGCTAATTTTTGTATTCTTTAGTAGAGACGGGGTTTCATCACATTGACCAGGCTGGTCTTGAACTCCTGACCTCAAGTGATCTGCTGGCCTCAGCCTCCCAAAATGGTGGGATTACAGGTGTGAGCCACCATGCCTGGCTGACTTGTCTATATTTGATGATTGACTTAAAAGTCAATAATATTTTAAAATAAAATGGTGTCAGAATTTATAAACTGTACTCAGATGTGCCAAAAATAAATTGCATTTTTAATTTTTTGGTAACCATTCTTATCTTGGTCTGAAGTGTCCATTCCCATGGTAGGAAAGGGGATACCATGACAAAGGGAGACTTTAGGTAGCAAGTTATAAAGATGATTCCATGCAGCTGGGCTCTGCTGTGTCTTTTGGGTAAATGTTTAGTCTTTCAGGGCTTCTCCTTTCTTCTTGTTCCTTTCCAAAGCTTTTGGGTTAATGACTTTCAGTTTCAGTATGGGAGGGTGTTCCAGCCCCTTTGGTAGGCCACATTTGCATAAAGATGAGGGTGTAAGGGAGACCTGTGTCTGGGCTGAGGAGGTTGGTAGTGGTATGTGCTAATACTCTTTCTCCTTAACTCCTCCACCAACTGTTATGTAGCAGCAGTTATTTCAGACATGTGAAGAGCATTTAAAGTTGAAAAAGAAGCCATCTTTTTGCCCTCTACAAAGCCTAACTTTAAAGACTAGAAAAAGTTAGCTTTGGGCTTTGAATCTGAACAAAGACCTTTTAATTTTAGGCTGTATTCTTCTTTTTCCCCAGACATAAGAAAAATGCTTTGACTTTAATAGCTAAAGGGGTTTAGTGAAAGAAAAATGCTTAAGATTAAGAGAAAATGCCTGCGAAGATAGCTAAATGTACATTGTTCCTTCAGCTTAGCAGTTAAGAGGATGTGATTTCAAAGGCAGATAAAACTGGATTTAAAACCCAGTTTTTCCCTTATTTATTAGCTCTGTCATCTTAAGAATATTATTTGACATCTTCGAACCTTGGTTTCCTCATCTTTGTAAAATAGGTAACTACATTTCTAAAATGAGGATTAAATTAGTTAATGTATGTAAAGCATTGTGTGCTTTACACACAGCAGACACATAAGTGATAGTTATTAAGCAGACTTCAGAACTGCTTTCAAAGGAAAAAAATGAACATGACATTGGATAGGTTAGTAATGTTTAGGATATTTTATATACATATAAGTGTATATAAAATATATAAATATATCAAGTTTCCTTGGAACTTTAAATATTCATATGTATTTACGGATATATATATATGAAATATCATATATGAAATATATGAATATTATATATATGGATATTTCAAGTTCCAAGGAAAGAAACATGTCCTGATATTCCCTCTAATTGAATTTATTGTAAGGATGCACAAGAAGTAAAAGAAAAAAGGGGGTGGGAAATAGGGAAGAAGAGGAATTGTAGTAGTTGTAATAAGGTTTGGCTGTGTGGTAGCCTGAGTGTGGGTCTAATTCTTGCAGTCTAGAAAATCTTACTAACAGAAATACAGACTTAATGATTATTTCCTTCTAGTTGATCTGTATTGCCAATAAAGTAAAATGTAGTAATAGAGTAAGATCAAGCTCTTCATGTTATTTTAATGAATAAATGAGAGGTGTTGGGGTTATCTTGATTGTTTCCCCGTTTTTACACAGGTAGTGAATGGAAAACCCGTTATGAGACACAACTTGAATTAAATGATCAACTAGAAAAGCAAATTGTTTATCTCAAGGAGAAGATGGAAAAAATCCGTGGAAACTCTTCAGGTACAAAACCAATCATATGTATGTTTTATAATTTGAGTTAAAACTGATAAAACATTAAGTGTTCGTATTTGATTTATTGTAGATAGACTATCTTCTATTCGTGTCTATGAACGAATGCCAGTGGTGAGTAGAAATATGATTAAACACAAAGAATAATTGAAGGAAATTATGTCTATTTTTTTCAGACGTATTTCAAACAGAAGTTTGAAGACTAAGGCAAGGTCCAAATAAACTAGTTTTTTCAGGGGACCTGTTTGAAGTAACAACAAATAATTTTCAAGTAGCTATAGGTGGAGCACTAAGTTGCCAGCTATATTCACAGGCCTCCTGAAGAGCAGAGCATGTGTGGATATTGCGTTTTGAATCACTGCCAACCTCTAGAGAGAAAGATATAGACAAATACTGTGTTTTTGCTAATAATGGATCAAGGAGAAATAAGTGTTTTTGCACACTTGTTATTTTCAACCCAGACATGCCTTTATTTCCGTATCTTGGAAAGTCAGGAATTTTTCTTTTTTAATTCGAAAAATTGTATGTTTTCCCGTGTGCTGTCATAGAGTTATATCGCCCTCTTGTGGCATTTAGAAATCATTGCTGGAGCTGTGTTAAGCTTAGTGCCTTTTCTTAATTGCAGGTAGAATTTTATTAGTACCTACTGGATATAAAATATTGTAGCTACCTGCTTCTTGATAACTGAGGCTCAGTCCTAGCTCACGAGAGTGGGTATCACCACCTTCGTGGAGAGTAGCAACAAGTGCTGGTATGACTTGGTAAAATACCTTAGGGCATATCTAAGGAGCATTTAATTGGTTTTCTACTACCTGAGACTCTGGAACATATTCATGTTGGCAAAACTACATTTATTTTCCTTGACATATTTGTGTTATTTCTGAAGAAAATATGGTTCTCTAAGAGGTTTCATAATTTAGATCCAGAGACAGAGAATTATATTTCTGCACAGTAAAGGACTGAAGAAATATTAACACAAGGAAAAGTGAGACCACAGGCTAAGCAGAAAGGAAAGAGAAGGAAAGTTCAGTATAAATAGTACTGATCCGCTCTATTCTCTGGACAGGTGCTTTCGTGAGTGTTTGGTCCTCATGAATCCAAGAGGGGTATGTCTGAGCAGCAGACATTAGAAATCTAGCCAAGGAGTCAGCGATAGAAGTGTCCAAATGCTAAACAAAAAGCACTGGGATCCAACAATCCTATATCCAGTCAAGAGACCCTCTTAGCTAAGGACGAAAGATATACGAAGTCTTATTCTTTGATATAAAGAATAATATTTGTGAAATTTAGACATATAATTGTGTAACGCATACCTATTTTTGGCTTCCTGTTAAATTGACAATTAGGCAAAAGGGCTTAAATTAGTTGTGTTTGTGGGATAGGGTATGAATTCAAACACCATCTGTAAATTTCCCGATTCTTTATCCTTGTTGTGGATTGTTTAGTGTTTAGGAGTAATCTGTACAGACATACTTATGAAATTGATGTGTTAGTTTGAATACTAATTTTGAGTAACTTCAAACTGCAGATTTGCTTATGGGTAGCGAAAGGATGGGCACTCGTTG